TGCAATTTCTCGCCTTCATCATTATGAGACAATGATTCGCATGAGGACGTTTTCTCACGTTCACGTCTGGCTAAGCCTCATTGTGTAAAAGTCAGAGCCCCCTTCTTTATTTCCAACACTTCAAACCCAAATGTGTCCACTGGCCGCAGCTCTGGGGCTGCTCCGCTCTAAGGCTGCATGCTCCACTGCGGCTGCCTGCTGATGGGCGTCCTCTGCACACAGAAACGCACCGTTTGTCTTCATTTGATCTTTATCTGTCTGCTTTTTGCGAGGTTTGTCCGCAGCGCGTCGCGGCTCAGGACACTGATCAAAACGGCCTTTTGTTGGGGTTTATTTGTTTTACTCGCGAGCGACTCGCATAGCGAGTGGGATCTGTGGCCCCTTCACTGAGTGTATTCTTCCTCAGGAATGTGTGATAGGTAGGCATCTTACCCTCCTTTATTGCTTTTGGCCAGAGCCTTACGTCATTATAGTCCTGATTGAAGTTGAAACGCGTTCAGCTTCTTCAGTCCGCGATGTGAACGAAAGAGGAGCGTTCAAATGACCCGAGGACGGTCTGTGTTTAAATCAGTGCTCACTCTTCAGTGCATTTGCCGTCTAATTATCTTTAAAAAAAATAGATAAATAAAAATAATAACAATAATAATGATGATAATAATGCTCGCGCGCTGCCGCTCTCCATGGTGCTGCAGTCAAACACGGCAGCTCCACCTCAATGTTCCTCTTTAATTCCGTGAACATTTTTCGACAAAGTGATTTTTCTCGTCGTTGTTCGAAATTAATGATCTGAAAATGTGATTTATTTCAGCTGCATTGCTTCCATGGAGGAGTTTTGAGAAGTATTGAAGTCCATTCCCGCCAGGAAGAGGACAAAAAAACATTTTTCCCTCCTTTTTTTGTCACTGACAGCATCTCATAATTTTGCCTTAGAAATAATGAGTTAAGTTTTCGAAATAATGACTTATTAAAAAAATGACAAGGTTTTAAAATAATGACTTATTTTCTCAAAAAAAAAATACTTAACATCTCAAAATAATTTTCTCGAGATCGTGAGTTGAGGAGACCCAATTTTGCTACACGTCGAAAACGAATTATCAAATTTTAAGAAAGCTATTCATAATGTGGGGATAATAAGTCATTATTTATTATTTTAGTCATAATGCCAATAAAATAAGTCATTATTTTGAGCTACTAATTCATTTTTTCGAATAGTAAAAAATAGTAAATAGTAAATAGTGCATAGTAAATTATTCTTTTGAAAACATAGGTTAGTATTTCAAAATAATTAATTTTGAGGAAATAAACGGATATTTCGACATAAAAAGTCAACGTTTCAAAGCAATAGGTCGTAATTTCGAGATACTACCTCAACATTTTGTCATACTTCTGCCAAAAACAGAGAATGAGACAAAAATGTCAGGCGGTCTTTATCCTCTGGCGGGAATGAGCTTCCTTAGTAAGTCAGAGTTTATTCCTTCTTGCTTCTCTGTTAAAACTCAGTGATGGGAATCACAGCGATCTGTAACTCAAGAGAAGCAGATCTGTAGTTTTCTTCATTTCCTCCAACATCGGCTAAACCAGTTAAGCAGTAAATCCTGCAATCGACCCAAATAGAGCCCATAAAGATCTGCGATGCTCTTCAGTCAGATCTGAACCTGAATTGCCCCTGAGCATGCGCAATTAATAGACTGTGATTAGGCTATTACTGTTCACTGTTTTGGAGCGTGTTGAGAAAGTGGCCCGCCTTTACTCTGCCTCCGTTTTACTGGCTTTCCTGCAGTGTGATTTTACCCAGGGCAATCAGCAAGTCTCTGTTAGATTGCCCTCTTTAAGGACGCACCATTGATCTTTGAAAGAGAGATTGCCACCAAACACACTCCCACCCCACACACCTGGCCCTTATTGCCCCCGGAGCTCGTGCTGTGTGGGATCCAGAGAGATGCTGCTTCGGTTTTCAAGTTTCCTGAAAATCAGCTGCTGTCTGTGCGGTTGAGAATCAGATACACAGTGCTTCCCCCTATGGGACATTTCAGGAAATTGCAGCCACCACCAAACGTGCTCTTCTTCCATTGGCTGTGGCTTTTTACACTCATCTTTCAACGCTTATTCTTTGTTCAAACTGGGATACATAAAACAGTTTAATTAACATAGGAACGTGGATAATAAACAATACAAATGATGATAACAATGTCCCATATGTAATAGCCTACATACAGTAGTATACAAAAGTTTGTGCACCCTTGGTGCAGGGTGAAAATAATTTAGAATCCTCTATAGAGAACACACTTCTGCACATTTTAATGCATGATTACAGTTTATTGGCTGAATTTAACATATTGGAAAAACAATGAAACTTAAAATGTGGCATGGGCAAAAGTTAAGACACAGTTTTCTTTTTTTCCGGTATGTGAAGCTCAGCAAAAATTAAAATATTTCATTGTGTTCTCTGTAGAGAATGTGTTAACTTATTTTCACAAAACGTGTGCGTGGACAGGGGGTG